TACGTATGCACACATTTAGGATGAAATCTACGTAATGTTTTATACACGAGGCCCCAGGACATTTTTTACTAACCACAAATGCAAAAAATCAGGATTACTACAATGACAGCATCAAATGAGAACTAAACTGCTTCTGAATAACCATCTTTATCAAGTCAATGTGTAATTTGTCAGCTAAAAAGTCATTTGGCTCCTAAATGTTTAATTTCACCAAAATTGTTTCAAAGTAGCCTGTGGTTACTTCAGCTTCACAAAAACAAAGTAAACTTAAGTTTACAGCCCAAGTTTTCAATTCCCGTATTCATATAGGCTAATCCTAAATGAACACTTCAGCAAGCTGAAGCTCAATGCCTGCAGTAAAAGCACCTTCCTGTTAAAACAATATAAGAGAGCAATAACCCAACAGTGCAGATGTACCCCTGTACTACATACACCCCCCTCTCAGCCATCAGCTGCAGTCTCTCCACTGCACCTCCCTCTCGGCCCCCTTCTCTCTCTCTCTCTCTCTCTCTCTCTCTCTCGCTCTCTCTCTATCCCCCTCTGACTCACTTTTTCCTCAGTCAGCAAGTCCAGACCCTTAAAGAGGGAGACAGAGACATAGTGCAGAAGCCTGCTCGAATATAAACCAACACACACACACAAAGAGAGTATGCCCTGAGGACGCTGCTATTAGCAGTGAGTGACATCACATCGCTTACCTAAAAAAAAAAAACACACAGGCTGCAACAAGGATACCAGATCCTGTATGAAGATGGTTACCAATACTGACAAAGTAACATCACTCCAGTCCGCTGAGATGTGTGTGTCTGTGAAAGAGAGAGAGTGAAAGAGAGCAATGGGATAAGAAAGAGTGTGGAATAAAAGTATATAAAATGGGTGAGATGTAGGATATTGTCTCATCTGATATTTACAATTTACAAAATATCTAATATATTTCAAGCTTATAGAATTTATTCTTTCATGTTTTTTTCAAACACAGTATAAGAAAACATCAGTCTCATACATTCCAAAGCTCAACAATAAGGATGGCCTGCTGGTTCGGGGCCAGTGTGAGAGAGTCTTGGGCAAATTAACGGAACTGTGCCGCAATGTCACTACAGCTTACATTTGTTGTTCTTGTGTTTTTAGGCCTCGTAGACATAAACATTTTCTGTACTAAATTGAATGCTGTTGTAATTCTGCATATTTAAACATAGGCAGCTGGGTAACAAAGATGAGGTTTTGTCAAAATTTAATTGTAAGAAAGTCTTGAAAGCATCAATTAGAAGTTTAGTTGAAAACAACAAATTGAACAATTCTACATAAAATGTGTACAAAGTTTGTTTTTAATTAAGACTTAACAGCTGTGTAATTTCCACAATTCATGTAATCAAAACAAGCTAATTAAACCCTTTTTTAATAAAGAAAAAAATGGCACACATAAAAATAAATTTCTAAAAATAAAATTGATCTTTTTTTGTTGTGGGGCAAGTGGAAATAATTAATTTGACGAAAATTAAGTTGTTTCAAAGTAGCCTGTGGCTACTTTAGCCAAACAAAACAAAAAATAGCCTTCAAACTATAAAAATGTACGTTTGCAACCTTCATCCAGTTCCTATAATAATGTAATCCTAAATGAACACTTCAACAGGCTGAAGCTCAATGCTTACAGTAAAACTACCGTCCTGGCACATATTAAAATAGCCTATACATTTCTAAAGACAAAACTAATCATTTTTGTGGTGATGCAACAAGTGAAAATACTGGAAGGGCAAATAAAATCCTTATTGTTGCCATGCGAAAAAAATGTAAAAAATTAAAAAAAAATTTAAATGCCGAGCAGTATGAACATGACAGCAGCTGCTGCATTATATGAAGGAATGCTCCGGGTTTAACACAAACTACGCTCTATCTACAGCACCTGTGCCAACAGAAAATCATTTGAAATGAGTGAAATGTTAAATAGTCAACAGCCAAATTGTAAAATGGGTCGTACTGCCATTACTAACCTTAGGGGAGTCTTCTGTCTTGAGTGTTATATGACAATTTCAGGCTATGTCACATACCAAAAATGTTAGTTTATGAAAGTCAAATTTGGTAGCCACCATATACCCTAAATATATACGTCACAATAATGTCTGACCACCACCAGTCTAAACATCCTGTGACAACAAGCACATTTACACCCAAACAAAATCACATTTCTGCATAAGCTGGCAATGTGTGCACTGAGAATCCATATAATATGGCCTAGCATTGTAGCAAGAGTTCACCAAAATATAACCCATTATGAATGTTATAACAAACATTGCATCATACAACAAATCCTGACAAGCACAGGCTCTGGAAATAAGACTTTATGACCACAACAGCCCTCAGCAAAACATTCCAGAAGGCTCTCGTTCCCGAAGCAGCGACCTTATGCCAACCAGAGCACAAGGAAATCTGAATCCTTAACAAGGATACTATTTTCACTAGACCAGGCTGAACTGAGCTGCTGTTGCACAACAAAAAGACAAGGAGTGAAGGGATAAAGTCAAGTTTAAGAGATCAAGAAGAAGAGAAATGGGGACAAGATCCACTGCAAAAGTCAGAGGATTACACTAAGATTTCCTTTATTATGCATACTGCAACTTAGATTATGGTACAAAGTAGCAAATTGTATATTCTTTAATAGCTTTATATGGGACAACTACTGTGGGGTCCAAAAGTCTGAGACCATATTTATTTAACATCTTGGATTTTTTATTTAAACCTGGAAACAATGAAAGATCCTGCACTATTAATAGGACATTAATTAATATAAAAATTACAATTTGTGACACTGATCATGTAAACTCATTAGCACAAAATGTCAAATATCCCTGCTTCCATTTGGAATAAATTATTCTGTTTATCATGTAGGCTAAATCAGGGATTTAGGGATTTTCATATATTAAGTGTGATATTAAGACAACATGCCGTTTCCAAAATTAAACAACCGGCTTTAATGTTGTTATGGTACTGAAGTGATCTGGAGAATACTTCTTAATACCTTGTATTAAGATGACAGTGTGTATTTTTTCTACCCAGTATTAGAGATATGTATAGATTTTTAACATAGAAAAACATATTTTGATTTTATTAAAAACAATGAAATACCTCTTAATATTTATTATTAATCTCAAGATTTTTGACAATATATTTAAAGAATTTAATATATTTCAAGAATTACTGCATTTAACATATGTAATTAATATCTTAGTTTAATAAGTTAACTCTGAAAGTCCAAGTATTTTCTTTCGAGTTTTTCATGGCAGACCACTAGCAGTTTTTTTGGGGTTTTTTTGTTACATTAACATATGAATCTGAATGACTTCTGAATGACCCTCAAAATATGCTTTCATCAATGTTTATATGTGAATAAAAACCTAAACTAAAAACTTCATCATTTAACATGATGTTATCTCTTCAGAAGAGTTAGATTAAACTGCTCAATCATATTTTATGACTGTTATAATGTCTTTGTGTACTTTCTGAAACTTGAAAATTATTACATAGATTTTCAATGGACAAAAAATTAGGAAGGAATAGTCCAAAGATTAAAAAATGTTGTATAGATTTGGAACAAGTAAACAATGAGAGAATTGTCTTTTTTGGGTGAACTATCCCTTTAAATTATCAATTATAATGATCTTTAAAAAAGCATCATATGACCCCTTTAATATATTATTAGTATTCGTTTTTATACATTTCTATATCAAATTGTTAATAATATTTATATTCATGCCCCATGCTAGGGCTTATAAACAGACAAACCCATGAAACACTCACACCCCACATCTCTTGTGGAGGGCCCAGGGATGCAACTCAGTGGAAATGACCGCTTATAGTTTACAAACACACTTACAAGATCATAAATAAACAGGCCGAATACTGACATCCATGCACCACTGCCATTTCATCTGGAAACAACACTGCTTTCCAGAAATGCAGTAATCAGCTTTGAAGTAACAACAATTCCCAGAGCTGCTCTCAATGTTGCATATGCTTTCTACATTTCGACCCATTAATTTTAAGACAGCTAGACATCGCAAACGCCTTCTTACGGTCAAAGATTTCGTGCTGGTGTACCGTATAATTGGCTATTGTAGTTCTGTACACGCCTGGAAGGTCCGGAGAATGTGAAATGGTCTTATACAGAACATGTCTGCTCTTGGAGCTGCCTGTGCCTGCAGCAGAACGAGCGTCATGTAACAGGACGACAGTCTCGCCGCTGCGACGCGCTCCTACAGCAGCGGGTGCAGAACATTCAGGCCTACGGCCGCGCTCAGCCTCACACTAATGATTCACACAGACACACATGTTGGTGCTTTAGCTTAAACAAACAAGCGCGTTTGCCTCAGGCCTGTATGACAGACTTTCGATTCCCGCTGCTTTGACTTCTCCGTTCGCCTGGCCTCGAACAGGGGGCCGGAGCCTGCCGTAGACATGAGAGGGGAGAGGCGAGGCGCGTAAAAACAACCGTGGTGAAACAGACGTCTCAAATGGCACTAATTAAATTGCAAACATCCTAATGTTTAAGTAACATTAATTGTAAAAGCGAAGGATCGACAGCGAAGCGCAAAGTGACCGGTTAAGTGAAGCGAAATTCAGAAGGAGGGCTGCGACCACACGCACGACCCCCGTTTATAGGCTACCATTCCATCGCAAATAGAACGAACAGGATATAACAGCACCAAATACGCGGCAAAACCGTTACAATGTATCAAGCGATAACGTGTTTGTTACTGTAGCAAATCCCGAGCGTTCGCTCGGACTAAATAATAATCGAAACAGTTAGTCAGAAGCCAATCTACCGAGGCGTCTATCCGCCTTCAGCTTTCGCTGTTAAAGCGATGCACGTCCACAACTTCATATTTCCAACCTTTCAAACTCATTACCAACAAAAGTGGCAAACAGCAAGAATTAAATGTTCCCAAATCATAAATCCAGCTGCTCTTATGTCAGGGTTAAATATTTTGGCAAAGCACATCACTCACCTCAGATGTCAGCACCCACTCCCGTTCTCCTCCGCTTTTCTGGTTTACCTCTCTCGTCTATTCTCCTCTAGCGATGTCCGATTCGCGAACGAGTCGTTCATTTGAGTCGGATCTTTTTAATGAATTGGTCGGACCGATTCGCAAGACCTTTCTGAATGATTCGTTCACGAAAAATCGGTGCGTGCGGTTGTTGAGTCAACAAATCACTACTGATTCATTGAACCGAGAACCTTCTCAGTTGGAAATGTACGATTCGTAAAGAGCCGAAAACCAGGGAGTGAATATTTCAATTGAAACATCCAAAAACCTTTCCAGAGGAGTGATGAAAATTAATATTACTGTTGTTTAATGTTAATGGTAATTTTATGTAGTTTCTGCTCTAAATTTATGTTTTTATGAGGTGGTAAATGACTGCAACAAATGTAACTGTGGTACATGAATTACAATAAACATCCTTGTTAATAAAAAAGGCAATATATGCAAGAAAAAAGTAATAAAATAATGATAAACGAAATTGGTCTGTTTTCAAAGAGTCACCACAAAAACACAACTTTATGGCTAATACAGAATTAAGTTTCAAAGAAGGAGTAGTTTGGATAACATGCTGTCATTAAACTTTGCAGTTTTATAGTTTACTGGAAGCAATATATGCCCACATATGGCTTTATAGGACACATGCCATGCCGAGGCGAGATGTCAGGTACAAGGCGAAGACGTAAAAGAACCGCCGATTCATTTTCAACCGGCTCATTGACAAACAAACTGTTCGAAAGAACCGATTCTCAGAAATGAATCGGACTTCCCATCACTACTCTCCTCCCTTCCAGATGTCGAGCGCAGGCTTCCAATCCGCGTCTCCCCGGAAGGCAGCGGACCAATCAGCCAGCGGACCACAGCAAACACATTCCCGGAGAGAAGCGAGAGCGTGACGGAAAGTTTGGAGAGAGAGAGAGATCCTTTGAAAAATAATGTGTTTTTTGAACATTAAAGCATGTCAACATATTCTGTTGCACCAAATACACAAAATAATGATCTTTAAAAAAGCATCATATGACCCCTTTAAGGGAGGAACAAACTGGAGCAAATATGCCGCTGAAAACAGAAGCTGGCCTAAGTAATAATTCAAATCTGATAATAAATAGTGTCAACACGCACTCAGAAAGATATTTCTTTTTGAAAGATAGTTTAATAATGCAGTTAACTCGAAAACTTAAATCTGTGTGTACTTAAATCAATATAATTAAACTGCAATTAAACAAAGATCCTATAAAGGTAAAAGAATCTTTGTTTAAATTAATTTATAAAGCTAGGCTGTAGTAGGTCTAATTAATGAATGGATTTCAGCAAAGATCCCATAACCTTACTTTAATGAGCTTGCATAAGGAGCTAGCAGCTGTACAGTGTCTAGACTGTTACATTACATCATCTTTCTCAGGAGAAGAAGGCACAGGAGGAGAACGAGAAGCTTGTAGCTATTCATGTTAAACAAGATAGCCATTAACCATCTGTGCTCTTAAATGTCTTTGACTGTGTGTGTGTGTGTGTGTGTGTGTGGGGGATGGGGGAGGGTGCAGACTTTTGGTGTGAACTCTGACTCAACAGGCAGTTCATTTGACACTCCAGGGTAAACTGAATTCCTGAGGCCTCCTCCTCTATCTGAACTAGAGTGTGTGATTTACACTCGAAAATGTATCTTTTAAATCACCTTATATGTTATGACTACACACCTTTTCTTTGTGTTTTTGTGTGCTGTAGTATAAAGGCATTTCGTATTGATTTAACCCATCCAACGTAATAGAATTTGTTGAAGTGGTTGCATGGAGAAGCTGCAGACACGACAGAAGGCATACGTGTCCTGAAAGCACACGCTCAGACATGCTGTCCCAAGTGACCCAGAGGTCAAACTCCACTCCTCAAAGTAGCCCCCGTGCCAAGAACAGAGACACAGGCGAGTTGTTTCACGTGTGCTGCAGGGAGCAGAGCCTTGAATCAAACATTTCAGAGTCATTTGTGAACTTCCATGTGTGCAGATTCATTTTCAACTTCCAGTCACAAAGCACCATGAAAGTATGATAATAACAAAGAGAGTATGAGCATTTATTAGTTTAAATATACATTACCATTTAAAAGTCTGCAGTAGGCAACAATGTTTAGGCATCTTATGCTTACCAAGGCTGTAATTATTTGATTAAAAATATGGTAAAAACAGTAATATTATGAAATATTATTACAATTTAAAATAACTCTTTTCTATTTTAATATATTTTAAAATGTAATTTATTCTTGTGATGCAAAGCTGAATTTCTAGCAGCATTACTCCAGTCTTGTGTCACATGATCCTTCAGAAATCATTCTAATATGCCGATTTGGTGCTTTATGAAACTTTTCGTATTATTTTGTAGAAACTGTCATAAGATTTTTTTTCCAGGATTCTCGGATGAATTGAAAATATATTTTATTTGACATAAATTAAGCATATTTAAAATAGAAATCTTACTAACCCCATACTTTTGAACAGTTGACATAGGCGGAGGGTGAACCAACTCCAGGGTAAGGCTAAAAGCAGCCAAATCAATTAACTACAAACATCATAAACCTGTCTTTTTAGGCAAGAACCAGACATGGGTGTCATGTAGGCTAATAAAATATGTTTAATGGGACTGAATTTGTATTTAACATGATTACAGTTTAATAAAAACATTAGAAATTGATCATTATAAAACGTTTCCTCTCTAAGGTTATTCAAACAGTGAATAAATTACTATACAGAAAGTGACATATCATTAACTTTCATATCATTAGCTGTCTACACTGTGAAATTAATCTCTTACGTTGTACTTACATCTGTGCTTTGTTGCACTCAAAACTGATGAGTTTCAGCGATGACTCATCTGAACGCCTCTGATTGGCCATTGCATTCCTAAGCTCAACAGAATCGCATGTGATTGGTTATAATGTGCAACACTGTAAAAACGCCTAAAATTAAATCATTTTTAATTTAATGCCGCAATCGACACTTTCTAATCATTGTCATTTTGTTAGCAACAGACGTAATAGATTTAATTTGTTTGCGCAGGGGCATTTTCGTCCAATTTAGTGGCATTTTTGCCCCAACTCGCTAATTTTTTGCCCCTTTTAAATTTCTGCCCCTTCCCCAGCCTTACACATGCCTATGCCAGTTGAATATACATTTCAGTATTATATTATACTTTTTAAAATTATATTCCATTATACACTTATTATATTATACATTACCACAAACTGCCTTCTTGTTAAAAGACGAAAGGAGAGAAAAAAGGTAAATGCATTTTGACTTGATTTAAATGTTTAATTTATTGTACTTTCTGTTGAAACCTGTAGTCACAATGACATCATATTTTCCAACCACTGGTTTAGCTCCTTTAGATATCATCAGGTATCATTTTCATACAAACCGTAAATACTGGACATTATGAGAGGGAATTCTGTGCAGCTTAACGCCATTTAAAGGGATCAAACTAGAAAACCTTTCCATGTTTTTCTTTGTGCATTTCAACATATCCACTGTAAGCTTAAAGCTTAGTGTTGGGTCAGGTTGTGTGTGTGTCATTTCTGATCACTACTGCCAATCACATGTGTGCTCAGCAACAGCCAACTGCCTAAAGGACACTTTAGGATGAGTTAATGACATCAACAAGTCTGCAAATGCAGCGAGGAACTTGTGTAAAGCCTGTTTTTGATGTTAAGACGCAGGTTGGACTTAATGATATGAATACACCTTCACGTAGGAGGTGATGTCTATACATTATTGCCAATTACGTAGAGTCTCATCCTTTAAGCCTTTGTTGCTCTTGAATCTCAGCACATCAAGCAGTTGTTAGTAGCAGATGGGTAGAAGGACTGTTAAATATAGCGCCCCCTAGTGGTATTACAGGGAATACGTTTTGAACATTGTAGCTGTAACATTACAATGCAATTTTCTTTTCCTCATCTGTCTTCACTGAAAGCAAAAATCAGGGGAAACCAGTCGTGAAGAAGCGGTGATTGCCGATGATGAACAATTTAAAATCTTTGGCGTTTATGTTGCTTATAGTTACTGACGACTTTTCTGCAATATCCTCCCAAAACGTGCAAATAAATTACCACTGATTCATGATGAATGTTTGTCTAGCGACTTTTACCAAGTCCTCTCCCAGTCTAAGAGACTAACATACAATAATAATCCCTGGGGAAGTCGTGTAAACACTTTCTTTTTGTTTTACTCTTCAGATATTATAATCATTATTATTGTAACATTGAAGCACAATATAATTATCTTAAGGCATCTGCACAGACAATGCTGTGCAATAAAATAATAAACCAGTAGAAAACAAAAATTCACTATGTACAATCAGTCAGATCAAGTGTTAAACCTCTTGTGGTCCACAGGACAAGAGAGCGGAGTGTGTTTGTATGTGTGTGTGTGTGTGTGTGTGTGTGCGCGCGCGTGTGTGTCAGGCCGTCTCTCCACTCTCGCTTTCTCGACTGAAGTAATAGCGCAGTGGGGGACTGGGCAGGTCTTCGTCACCATCCACCTCCGGGGCAAATGATACGGTAAGGTCAACATACTTCCTGCCTGCTGAGGGTTTGATCAGTCTATGCATTCTGTAAGAAGAGAAATAAGGGTACTGTCATGGAAATGCATAAGAAAACCACAAAGCCATTTATTTTGACAATTGTGTCTGATCACAGTAGTCACATAGAAATTACACACTTCAGTTTTAAAGTCTAGATTATTTTATTGCTGGGTCTTACGTCAGTTTGAGTCTTTTGTTATGGCCTGGCATAACCGGCACATACAGCATCTTCACTCCGTGAACAACCATGGTGGGCTCAATTCCATACTCCTCCTGAAAATGAAGCATAAACGTTATTCTTACATTATGCACTCTGCAATAATTAATTGTAAAACTCAACTGTTTAACTCTAGGGGAATTGGAAAATGAGCCTATTTTCAAAAATAGTGGTGTGTTCCTTTAACAAATCCTAAAACAACAGATAATTAACCCTCAGAGACCCAGGCATTATTGATGTATTTTTAACGTATATTAAAATTGTTTTTAAGAAGTCACTGTTTTTTTTAATCATGTACATTACCATTCAAAATTTTGAGGTTGGTAAATATTAAACATTCTTATACATTAAAACTTTTAAAACATAATTTAAACAAATTATAAACAATTTTAAAACATTATTTATTCCTGTGCTGGTAAAGCTGAATTTTCAGCATCATTACTCCAGTCTTCAGTGTCACATGATCCTTCAGAAATTATTCTAATTGGCTGCTCTACAGACATTTCTTATCAATGTTGAAAAGTGCTTAATATCACTGGAAACAGGGATACATTTTTTTTTGTAGGATTTTTGATTAATAGAGAGTTACAGATATTTTTTTATAACAATGTAAAAGTCTTTACTCTCGGTTTAATAAAAGTATCAATTTCTTTCAAAAAAGAAAAGAAAGAAAAAAATACATATAGAGCCTAAAACTTGTAGGGCAGATTTTGTGAAAAAGTTAATTTTTTACAAAAGTTCTGCAAAATTGCAGTTTATGAACTTAAGGTTTACATAAAATTACACACACACACACACACACACACACACACACACACAAATACATAGTTTATATATTATTTTATTATAACAA